GCCCATTGCATGCGTAGCGCACGCCCCTCATGCTGCAGATAAGGAAGACGTCAGGAGGGAGTTTGGGGAAGGAGTTAAGGAGGTGCATGAGAAATGGAGAATTGATTTGCTTCTCTGCGACGCCAATGCGCACATTGGCCCAGAGTGCTCAGCAGCAGTCGGGCCTGAAGGATTTCTCGAGCAGCAAGATCAGTCAGGAAAACATATTTCATGATGCCCTTCTTTTTATGCAGCATAAAGCTATCAATACTTTTCTCTTCTGGGGGCATACATCACACTTACGTCAAAGATAAGCCCCAAAAAAGCAGACTTGCCCCCCAAAGTTCCCAGAGAGACCCAGGTATGCGTGAACAGCTTAAACATCGGAAGGATTATAATTGCATAGCTGATCGGCTATGGCCCGTGGTGCAGGACTGTTGGGTGATTTCAAATGTAGATGGATTGCACGGTGCCAATGGCCACATGCCTGTCAGTGCAGTATTCGACACGACGGCTGTCAAAGGTGCAAGGACACCACTTTCCTTTTTCCTGCCCCAGTGCTGACCCCCGATGTTCAATTAGCCTTTCAAGAGCGAATACCTAATATGCCAATCCCGCGGTGGGGCACGGACATGAACCGATACTACCATGACTTCTGCAGCGAGACCAGAAGGATTATGCTTTCACTTTTCCCTCGGCCTCCATATGTACCCAAGACCCCCATTGCCACCCCCCAATTGGTTGATGCCATCTCTTTCAGGAGGGGAATCCAACGAGCACTTAGAACGTTCAGGCAACAAAGTGCCCCTGCCCTTTTGTCCCCTGGTGATTGACCTTCATGAAAGGAATTCCCCCCCCCCCCCCCTCTTGCCCGAAGAAATGGATCATCCCTCTCCTCCCCTTGCCCCTCCAGGTGGACTACTACAAACAAGGTGAGGCTCCCCATGATTCTGCATTGTCTGCTTTTGTTTCTTTCCTTGCCCAGTCCCGCAAGGTCACGCAGCGACTCCCCCGAGACAGCAGGACGCAATTTCTACAGAAACACGCGCAGACACTAAATGATAACATAACAGGGAACGACAGTCAAGCAGAGTGGAGGACTCTTGGGATTCTGAGGCGTTTCGGAGGATGGAAAGGGAAAAAGCCAAAAACCAAGCTAGGCCAACTACAGATTCGAAAGACCCCAGAGGGCAACACACTCCGCACCAAAGTGGAGATGGACAACGATGCCCTGAGAGCCTTTGCCAGCATCGGACATGCATCGATCCCCCCCCGCTCGGAACTTTGCGAGGTGCATAATGAAGATCAGAAGCCCCCCCCCTTTCACCAAGTCCCCCCTTCTCAAGTTGTGACGGTTCGTGGCCTCCATAACAGTATCATTACCAGCAAGAAGCAGAAAGCCACCAGCCCAGATCTCATCAGTGTTTTTTTTTCTTGCGAGTAGCGGCCAGTGAGTTTAGTTGCCTCATGCATCCTCTCTTTTTGCGTATGTCTCTCGTGGCAGAGGAACCTCTCGCGCTCAAAGGAGGACAAGCGGTGCCTGTCTATAGGCCCTGGATCAGTGATTGATACTGACTACAGACAGATCCTGCCTGGGCCGCATGTGATCAAGCATCGCCAGGCCTTGCTGAGATCCATGCTACACCGTCTGACCGAGGGGCTAATTGGAGAGGTCCAACTAGGAGGCTTCAAGAAGAAAGGCACAGAGCATGCCATTCTGTTGACGCAGAGTTTCATCAGCACGTGCAGCATGCAAAGGAAGTCTGCGCTCCTTCTCTTCAGTGACCTCAGGGGCGCATTCTACTCAGTTGTCAAGCAATTTCTAATGCCAGCGGGGCATGACGGAGATATTGAGGAGGTTTTGCGCAGTAACGAGACTCCACCATGCCTCCTCGAGCCGATTAAGATGTTGCTCTCCGAGCCCGCTGTTCTAGATGCTGTCGGTGACCCCACATTAGGAGAAGTATCCAGAACAGCCTACATGGCACCTGGTTCGAGGTCGGAGGAGCCAAGGATGTTGCCCTTGGTAAGACAGGTACCAGAGTAGGCATGCCCTTAGCAGACTTTCTCTTCAACCTGAATTTTTGGCCTGTGCAGCGAGAGATCACACAAGCTCTGGCAAGCAAAGGTTAGCTCCTAAGCGCCCCCCTCCCCCCCCCCCCCCCCCCCCCCATTGATGATCATAACAGACTTCTTTCCCATGGGGGTGAGGACCCCCCAGTGGCACAGGGACCGTCCTATGTTGATGATCTTGTCACACTTGTTGCCATTGACAGATGCGACAAATGGCCGCAGGCGTTGGGCGACGCCACCATCGTCTTCTACGAAGCAGTGAGAAAAAGAGGTCTAGTCCCAAACTTCAAGAGAGGGAAGACCGAGGCTATGTATTTCCCGCATGGAAAAGGTTCTAAGAAGCAGGCAGCATATTTTTATGCAGATTGTTGTGCCCCGCACAAAATAACGAAATACGATATGCAGATACATCCTACCAGGCAATGCAAGTATCTTGGGTTTCTGCTCCCCCCGGACCTCTCAATGGGCCCTGAGATCCACTCCAGAACCCAGAGAGCCAGTGATGTCCGAAAACCCATCCAGCGTACAGTTCATAAGGGTGCTGATCTGGAACTTAAACATCATATTAAGCACTGCAAGGCAATTGTTTCATCACATCTCTTTCATAATTGTTCGACCTGGCCCCAGCTAGGACAGCGGGCGAGAGACCGACTGGGGGCGGCCCACGTACATGCCTACAAGGCCGCCGCACAGTTGACATGGGATGGTGTCAACATGCGACAGTTTCCGAAATATGATGTGTACATTCGTGCCAGAGTTTTGCCCTCTTCTCACATTTTGTCTTTTGGGCGGCTACGGCTCATGGCCATGATCATGCAGACAGGGCCACCTATTCTTGCGCGGCTGCTGGAAGACCAGTTTGACACAGCAGGGACGTGGAGCAATGCTGCGAAACAGGACGTAGAGTGGATGACACAATATATCCTCCCCCCCCCAAGAACACAGGTCCCAATGAGATTTCAAGTGGTGGATTCGTAAGGCCCAGGAGTCCCCCAGACAGTGGTTCCGAATTTGCACTCGAGCTGAAAATGCCGCCCTGGCCGTTTTTCTGGATGAACAAGCTCATCACAAGTTTCAGTATATGTATAGCAAAGTCTGCTCCAAGGGACGTCTCCCCACCCCTCCCCACATGCAGCACCAAACTAGGGACGCCCGCTACGTGTGCGATGACTGTGCATTCGTAGGAAACACAGCAGCTGCCCTGGCTGCACATAGAACGAAGTCTCACCCAGTCTCTAACATTGCAAGCCAGTTTGCTTTCAGTTCAGATTGCATTGCATGTGGAAGGTGCTTCCATACGCGAATCAGACTGCTGCGTCATCTTCGACATGGGTCGAAATATTGCCTACCACGCCTGAACAGTGTGCTCCGTCCCCTCTCTCCTAGCCGCATGGCTGATCTCGCAGACGAGGATCGGACAGTGGCACTAGCTTTGGCTAAGAGGGGACGTGCAGCTACCTTTGCTGAAGTGCCTCCATATCGTATCATAGGACCAACCTTAACAGGGGTTCGAGTGCAGCCAATGCGGAAGTTTGAGGCAAGTCAATTCGAGATTGCAGTCAGCGACCAGCAAGTGGCTCCCGATCCAGTGTCCCTACAGTTTCAGCCTGTGGCAAAGCATATCATACATATAACACATCGGCCGCGTCATGACTTTGATTTCCAACATTCTATTGATATCCGTGCACGAGTGAACGGCAGCAATATCAGCACACTGCAGGTTGCGCCTCACTCAGAGCACATACGTAACAATTTTGACTCGATCCTAGACCTGATATTTCAAGGACAGGTGGCTGCAGTTGCATGTGAGGATACATGTATAGATCGCACGCTGCAGCACCCATGGGGACTCCCATGGTTAACAGGATCTTCTGCCCGCAAGAGGGACACAGCGAATTCGGGCCTCAGGACATCCATGATCTTAGCGTGTGCGTGTGCGTGCCAAGCTGTGTGCTTCGTCCTGCAGTATACCGAATGTCCTGAAGGCCAAATTTCCATTGACACCTTGCCTGAGTTTGTGCACCTGAACCGAACACAAGGACAGGGATAATTCAGGGATTTAGCTGTCCATAGGTTCCCACACTACCATAGTGATCTTCCTGCTAGGGTTCTTGCCATTAACCTCGAACCCATGCACACTAGAGTGTCTCGTGTGTATAGCACACGCTCTTTGCAAGAGCAAATTGCTGCCTCTGTTTTCGCGTGTTTGCAAAGCGGAGGCATTCCCCTCAATGACGGCTCTGAGGTTGATGGCATGTTTTTTCGGTGTCCTTTCCTGGTGCCCCTGGACCCCTACCTTGGGGCTCTGGAGTGCCAGAACCTGTAACCGTCGAGGGTAAATAACCTCTTATGCATGTAATTTATGCTTGAAGACACAGAGACCTTGGTCGTCCCTATGAGCGTGGGCAGCAGCAGGAGGAGGAGGAGGAGGGAGGGAGGGAGGGAGGGAGGGAGGGAGGGAGGGGGCGAGGAGGGAGGGGGGGGGCGAGGAGGGATCCTCCTCTCCCTTGGGATCCTCCTTTCCCTCCTCTGCCTGGCGACCGGTCGATCCTCGATGCTCGGTCTCCGCCCTCGCCCCTCCTCCTCGGTGTGCGAGCCCGGTCTTTGCCCCTCGGTCCTCGCCCTCGGCCCTCGCGCCTCGGGCCCCGATCCTCGCGACGGTCGGCACTCGACGCTCAGACCCCGATCCCCGATGATCTCGCTGCTCGCTGCTGGCACCCTGCTTTAGGTCGGGCATGTCCGCCTACAGGCGGATGCTGGACGAAAAAAAAGCAAAATTGCCACAACAAAAACGCCGATTCCACAAATAGTCGAAAACTCGTCCTCGGGCCAGTTTTTCACCATCTTGGACTTCCCCCATGGGGAGGGACGCGCCCGACTCAATGCTCGCTGCTCGCGCCCTGCCCCTCGATGCTCGCGATCGTCCTCGCTGTCCCAGCCGGCCGCGCCTGTTTCAGGAGAGCCGCGGCCTGGGCGCCCGGCGGCGCGCCCGACTGCGCCGGCGCGAGCGGCGCCAGCGGCCGGAGGCCTGGCCTCGAAGCCGGCTGCGGAGGCGGGGGGTGCTGCGCGGGCCTCCGCCGCCTCACAACCTCCCCCTCCCCCTCCTCCTCCTCCTCCTCCTCCTCTTCCTCCTCCTCCTCCTTCTCCTCCTCCTCCTCCTTCCTCCTCCTCCTCCTCCTCCTCCTCCTCCCCCTCCTCCTCCTCCTCCTCATCCTCCTCCTCCTCCTCCTCCTCCTCCTTTTCTTTTCCTCTTCCTTTCCCTCCCACTCCTCCTCCGCTTCCTCCACCTCCTCCTCCTCCTCCTCTCCTCCTCCTCCTCCTCCTCTTCCTCTCTCCTTTTCCTTTTCCTCTTCCTTTTCCCTCCCACTCCTCCTCCGCTTCCTCCACCTCCTCCTCCTCCTCCGCCTCCTCCTCCTCCTCCTCCTCCTCCTCCTCCTCCTCCTCCTCCTCCCCCTCCTTCCGCCTCCTCCTCCTCCCTCCTCCTTCTCCTCCTCCGCCTCCCCTGCTCCCTCCCGCTCCTCCTCCTCCTCCTCCCTCTTTTTCCGTTTCCTCTTCCTTTTTCCCTCCCACTCCTCCTCCTCCTCCTCCTCCTCCACCCCCTCGTCCTCCTCCTCCTCCTCCTCCTTGTCCTCCTCCTTCTCCTCCTCCTTTTCCTCCTCCTCCTCCTCCTTCTCCCTTCTGTTCCTTTTCTTCTTCGTTTTCCCTCCCACTCCTCCTCCGCTTCCTCCACCTCCTCGTCCTCCTCCTCCGCCTCCTCCTCCTCCGCATCCTCCTCATCCTCCTGCTCCCCCACCTGGAAGCATCAAAAAGGGCAAGACCAAGTCCAAACTTGGGGCCCGCAACAAAATAAAATTGTGAATTCAAAGGGGTTCAAGATCACTCCCCTGACCCCCTTATCCCTCAGAAGGGGGACGCGAACAGGTCGAACTCCCCGAAGATGAAGACGCCCCGCAGGCCGCAACAGCACGGGTAGATCGTGAAGGAGGCCACTAGCAACACCAAAGCCACCGCGCACGCGAGAAGATGCCATACCCATGAGCCAGGCACGAGAAGGCGTCCACCGCCCCGAGGAGGACCCCCACGCGCATGCGACCCATCCCACACTGGCCACTCCAGAGGTGCCTGCGCCGCGCCCAGCTGGGGTTACGTACAGGGGCCTGCGCACCTGCCACGGCACGTCACGCATGTCCAAAGTGGTGAACACCAAAAGACAGGATCGAGCCGCTAGCCAGCCGAAATACGTTGACGACCACGATGGAGACGGCAGACCACCGAGAGGGAAACACGAACAATGAATTCTACCTCGTTGGGAGCGTGCACAACTGGTTCAGCAGTACTTGAAGCCGAAGGCGTCGATGACCGCCGACTCGCGCAGCTTGTCAGTGATGCCCCAAGGGAGCCTGAAGGCAATGACGTCCACGGCGGGGACCTCTGCGAGCTCCGTCAGAGACACTTGTCCAGCGGAGGCGCCTTGGCGATCTAAAAGTCCTCCGGCTGAGACTTGAAGAAGTCCTTCATGGTTTCGGCGTCCTTCTCCTTGACCCGCGCCGCCAGCAAGGAGGCCAATGGAGGCGAAGGGGTAAGGAGACCCCCCTGGACACCGGCAACATGCAAAATGTTCGGCCGCGCGCCACCGCTAACGACGTGCCCGTCCCTTCCGCCCCGCCGCGCGCCCCGAATGAGACGCGACGCGAGGGCGGCGCCACTGAGCCAGACAGGATACAGGGCTCTCACCCCGTTTGGACCTCGCTCGGGGTTCAAGCGGAGCTTGAGCCAAAATGGATACGGTCTCCTCGTCCCCTCCTCCTTTTCCTCCTCCTTTCCTCCTCTTCCTCCTACTCCTCCCTCCTCCTCCTTCGCTCCTCCTCCTCCCTCCTCCTCCTTTGCTCCTCCTCCTCCTCCGCCTGCTCCTCCTCCTCCTCTTACTCCTCCTCGTCCTCCTCCTCCTCATTATCATGACCATCAACATCCCTATCCTCATCCACATCCTAATCGTTCTCCTCCTCATATTATCGTCCTCCTCGTCGCCGCCATCATCGCCATCAGCATCGCCATCAGCATGACCATCAACATCATCATATGCATCATCATCACCAGAATCACCAGCATCATCAGCCACATCATAATCATGGGCACCATAACCACAAACAACAACAGCTGTATGACCATGAAAACACAACAACACCGTCATCATTATCATCACACGCAACGGCATTACCAACATCACCATCAATACCAACACCAGCGCCACCAACATCATCACCATCATCACCACCCTCACCACCACAATCGTCATTTAAAACCATGATCATCATCATCTACACCACAACAACGATCACTACAAGCATCAGTTCATCATGACCAGCAGCAGCGTTAACATCATCATATCATCATAACCATCATCATCAGCAGCACCTGCATCAGCAACATTATCATCATCACCACCACCACCGCCACCATCATCAACAACATAATCATCATCATCACCACCATCACCTGCATCACCACCACCACCACCATCATCATCAACAACAACATCAACATCATCAACCGTATAAACAACCACCTCTTGCTCCTCCTCCTCCTCCTCTTCCTGCTCCTCGTCCCCCTCCCTCCTCCTCGCCCCCCTCTCCTCCTCCTCCTCCTCCTCCTCCTCCTCCTCCTCCTCGTTTTCCTCCTCCTCCCTCCCGTTGTCCATGTCCTCCTCTTCCTCATCCTCTTCTCATGCTCCTCCTCTTCCTTCTCCTTTCCCCCCTCCCCCACCCCTCCTCTCCTTCCTCCTGTTCCTCCTCTCCCTCGGGATTCGATTTCTTTACAACCCGCACGACGCTTTACCACCGAGACAGGTCACTGCACAACCAGCGGGGGATCGAATGCCCTGGTTTTCCTTTGAGAACGACAACTTTACAGCCAGAACAACGCACCTAACAACCAGGACGGCCACTTTACAACCCGGACGGGGACCTTTGTAACCAGAACGGCCGGTTTACAACCAGCCTTCAGAAGCGCGCGTGCGCTCTGCATTGACTTCTGAAGTTTCTGGGCGCCTGAACTCTCTGAAGAGGCATCTGGACGCCTGAGCGCTTTGCAGAAACGTCTGAGCACCTTCGCGCTTCGCACAGGCATCTGAGCGCCTGAGCGCCCTTCAGAACCTCCTGAGCGCCGGAGCCTTCTGCAAAGGCTTATGAGCGCTTGAGAGCTCTGACAAGGCTTCTGAAGCCTGATCGTTCTGCAAAGGCTTCAGAGCGCTCTGCGGAGGCTTCTGAACGCCTGAAAGCTTTGCAGAGGTTCCTGGGCGCCTGGGCGAGCGTTTGAACGCCTGGGCGCATTGCAGAGGCTTCCAGGCGCCTGATCGCCCTGCAGACTCTGCAAAGCGAGAACAACAACCGCTTGCGATGCCAACAACGTACACATTGAAATCCGAATTCCTTGGCTAAAATTGAGCCAGCGAAGTCTTGGGCACTTTCCGCCCTCCTGGGTACACATGCTTCTGCAATTGCGCACACATACGGTTTTGCGATTGCCACGTTTTGGGGCGCGAGGTCAAACATGATGCCCCCCCCAAAAAAAAAAACACGCTTTGAAGCCCACACGCGTTGGCTAGAAGTTTACAGGCGAAGTCTTGGCCACATATCTGCCCTCCTGTGTACGTATGATTCCGCGAAGTCGAGAACATGCGGCGTTGCTTGTGCCAGACGGTGAAGCGCGAGGGCTAAGCTTGCTTGCGAGGCCAAGCGCTACAACTTGGCATCCACACGTAGTGGCTCGAATGTCACAATCGACGTCTTAGCAACATTTCCGCCCTCCTGGGCATGCTCGCAATTGCGAAAAGCATGCGCTGTTCGTGATTGTCCGAAGATGGGGCGTGAGGGCAAGCATGGTCTATGATACACAAAAAAGCAAATTGAAATCCACAGGCGTTGGCTAGAATAATACCATCGGTTTCGCGTCCACATGTCCATCCTCCTGGGTACGCACGCGACGGCGAATGCAAAACCATACGGTTTTGCGGTTGCCAAACGATGAGGCGCAAGGGCTGAAATTGTCTGTGAAGCCAGACGCACAAATTGACATCCACATGTATCGGCTAGAACGTCCCAATCGGCGTCGTGGCAACATGTCCGCCCGCCTGGGTACGCATGCTTCCGCAAATCTGAAAACATCATGTGTGTTGCTATTGCCAGACGATGAAACGCGATGACAAACGTGGTTTCGAGTGACAACAGCTTGAAATCCACATGTAATGGCTAGACATTGACCAAGAGTTCTTGGCCACCGTTTCGCTTTTCTGTGTGCGCATGCTTCCTCACATGCGAGCACATACACTTGCGTCGTTGCCAAACGATGAGCGCGCCAGGGCCAAACATGTCTATGATGCATATGACATCGGCATGTATTGGCGGCTAGACTTGTACCAGCAACTTATTGACCACCATTCCGTTCTCCTGGGAGCGCGCGTGTTGCTGTGCGTCTAGTGCGGCTAACGCTGACTGTGCTCCATTTCCAAAAGAAGCAAGATGTTCAGGCAGAGGTTATGGGGCTCCAAAACGACGTATATGGAGGGCATGGATGTATCAAAAAACGTAAACTTAAACCGGATATCCATTGGATATCTAATGGGTTCCAATTGGTCTTTTGGGACACCACAAGGATACGACGCCAAACCAGGGCACAATGTTCATCACAGAAGACAGGTTTCTGTTGAGTTACAATTGGGACATGGTGGGATCCCAGTACTATGCCCGCATGGATCGAAAAAGGAAGGGTTCCGACTGGATTCCAATGGGGTATCCTTCGTATTCGCCAACATGGTTTTGATGGGATTCCAAGAAAGACGGCTCCCATTGTTTTCCAATGAGAACCCAGAAGCATACCCACCGGGCTTCCACATAGTACCCCCAGCGCGTTCCCCGCAGCATTCCAATATGACGATTTCTCGATTGTAAGCCAATGGGGTTCCGATCGGTTCCCATTAGGAAGGGTCCCAATGGGTTTCAATAGGAAGTACCCCTATCGGAGTCCAATAGGACACCCGTAGGCCCCATATCGAGGAATATTGTTGGATACCAATGGGACCCATCAGGTGCCAACAGGATCCCAGTGGGAAGGGTGCCAATCGGATTGCAATCGGATTCCTGTTGGATCCCATTAGGAATCCACCACTTCCAATATTCTCGCTTCAGACGGATCACTTTACAACCAACACGCTTCAGAGAGCGAAATGTCTCCCTCACATAGATCCACGGAAATTTCGGACATTGAAGAACATGTGTCGCCTACGTGGGCTTACTCGCCTGGTTGTAAAGTGGCCTTCCTGGTCGTAAAGTGCCCTTCTGGGAAAACCCATGCTGGTTGCAAAGTGCCCCATCTGGTTGTACAGAGGCCGCTCTGGTCGCAATGTGACACACACGCCGTCCTCTCCCTCCTCCTCCTCCTCCTCCTCCTCCTCCTCGCCTCCTCCTC